CCCCAAAACCCCAAAACCCCAAAACCCCAAAACCCCATTCTAAATAAATAAAAGGAATTAATCTCAAATGAAAAATGAATTTTTGTTCAAATTAATATTAGATTTTATAAGAATAATGGACTACCTTAAAAATATTGTTAATACAAGTCTTTTGCCTCGATCTCATCGAAACAGTCTCTAAAATTTTACAGATAAGATGGAAGCACAAAAAGACAAATCAAATTCTATCATCGGCAAGTAAATCTAGATTAAAAATATTAGAATTGAGGGTTAAGGAACACCTTTAAGGAGACAGAGAGGTAATTCAAACTGACCATAGACTGTCTAAGATTAATCTATCATGCGATAATCTTTTAACTCTAAAACAGGTCCCACAATGAAAATTCATTTATCTTCTAAGCATAAAAAGCGATTTTCTGCAATGAGAAGATAGTCTGAGGGTTCTAAAGATGACTCTAGTTATATGATTGGTGAGGGTAGAGTATCAGCTAGGTATAATTAGAATCATAACATTAAATCTATAAATGGAGATTTACCACTAGGAGAAGAGATAGAGTCACCAAGAAATAATTTTCAAAATTAAACTCTTATACAAGTGGTAAATGCTACAATTAATCCTAATTCCAATGCAATAAAGAGACTAGATGAAAGCACAATCCAAAAGCAAAATATGTCCCAGCAGTAATGCTCATAAATAAAATAATTTCAAAACCCCTGACATTAGAATTCGCTATAATTGTAAGATTAAACCCCCAAAATCATAAATTATTCAAATACATTTAAGTTAATGGGCTAGGCAGATACTAAAATTAGGCCATAAACATAATAAATTCGGGGTGGATAGGCTAACCTCAAAATTAAAAGGCCTTTACAAACTAATTTATTTTCTGAGAGTACCTCTAATCAAGTTAATTAGACATCTTTTATTTTCAAGGCAGATTAAATGGACTATTAAAAAGGTGATGCCAGCACTTTTTCACCAATGTAAAAAAGAAGAAACCTACAAGTGTCCACTACTCTCTACCCTAGACTTGTTATGTCTTAGCAACAAAGCCCAAGTAACTTAGCTGCTACATATCAAGCATAATTTGCTAACACGTCTATATTAATAGGAAAGTAAATCTAAAAATAGGAGAAAATGATTTAATACAATCATGGTGTATTATCATAGACATTAAGTCAAAGCCCCAGATTAGAAATATTAGAAATAAATTAAAATAAAAATAATAAAGATTTCAGATATTATTTAGAAATAATCGAATAAGTTAAAAAGGAAAATGAACAGTTGAAAGACCTTAATCGAAAACTTGTGGATGAATTGGAAATCTACAGATATAAGGATTCTCTGAAAGAAGCTGAGTACATTATAGAGCATCAATACAATAATATGCTCATCCCATAATGATATAAATACTTGTTTGATCAAAAGCATAAGTATCTCTCTGCCATTAATTTCACCTATAAGAATGAAGCTTAAATATTGCATGAAAAAACAACAAATGAAATAGATTCTACTAGGAAATATTACGCTGAAGAGCACGAATAAATGTAAGAGATGATCTCAGATATGATAGATCAACTTAGATTCTCAACATAAGAGAAAGAAGAGCTTGAAAAAAATTTTGAATTCGTTGTTGATGATAGCATTGAACAAATTAAAACTCATATTGATAAATTTAACGAAGAGTATGCCTTAAGATTGAAACTTGAAAAGGAATTAAATGATAAAACTGAGAGTTATATAAATATGGAAGCCAGATTAGATTAATTAACTAAAGAAAAAACTAAATTAGATTAGGATTATGAGGACCTTAAAAAGCATTATTTTGAAGTATGCAAAAAGGTGTAGAGATATTAAAGAATCTATCATGATGTAGATATCAGCTAAATCCATGAAAAGATTACCTTGCTTAATACTGAGAATGATTATTATAAGAATTTGTCTCAAAAGTTGTAATCTATGAATGTAAATCTGAGAATGAAAGCTAAAACTCTGTTGATAAAGCAAAAAGATAGTGGGTTGGTTTCATAAAATTCAAAGTCTAAGAATGATGATTATGAATTTGATAATGATTAATCCCCTACTCTTGTAAAGGATGTAATGAGAAAAGAGCAGCAAGCAATTTAAGAGGAGGAAGACGAAGATCTTGACAAAGATGAAATGTAAAAGCAAGTAGTGAGACCAGATTTCGAGAGTGAACTTGAAAAATCGGGATTCAGTTTAATGACAAGATTTTGAAGCATATAAATTGATGCTAAGTATAAATTTTACTTATTCAGGGATATTGTTTGTAAATAATCATCATTAAATAATTAATTTCATTAAAGTGCTGATTTTAAAAGCTATTTTACACTGTCTATTGTGAAGTTTTTTACCTCATCAATACATAATACTTTATCACTACTTTTGCTGCCTTTCACTAGACTTATATCTCTCTTCTTTAGGCCTAAAACTTAAGCTACGAATTCTTTTATTCCCTCATTCGCTTAACCATCTAATGGTGGTGCTTAGACTGATACTCCAATATAATCATCTTCTACAGCGTATATTTCATCACTTTTACTTCCAGGTTTAGCGTTTATTACAATGAAAATCTTTCCATTTTTTTCAAATATAGAACCAGAAGTTTAAGAAGTCTGAGTTTTTGTTTCTTCTTGTTGAGGTTACTATTTTGATGACTTATTTTTACCCTTGCTTTTGTTTTTTTTATCCATTTAAACTATATGCTCTACTCTATTTTAATAATTTAATAAAAGTTAAAATTGGATTAGTTAAAATGTCAGATTTACAGTTAGAAAATAATAAGCAGATAGCTTCGAGTGAAATTCCTATAATCTTTCAAGCAAAAAAGTTAAAGAGATCCTCATCACAGTACTTAAAAAGGAGAAGAAAGGAAATTAGAAACAGAGCTTACCAAAATTAGGATGGAGTCACAGTTCCATTTCAGGCAACTATTTTGCAATAAGTTTATGAGCCTTAAAAAACGATGAGGGATTATAATGCCAAAGATTTAAGAATAGCAAGTCTAAAATCTGCAAGAATTATTAGACCATAATCATCTCATAGAATCCTAAATCCTTAGGAATACTACGAGAAATTCCAAACTTATTAAGCTCCTCCTAAATAACTAGTTAAAGACAGAATAGATCTCTCAATAATCTATAACTCTGAAGGATAATTTTTAGAAGCTTACAAAATGCTAGATCCCTTGCATAGAAAACTTATGCTTGATGGAACAACATTTAAAAGATATATATTTGAATTTTATAGACACTTTACTCTTACTTTGATATATCTAGCTTGTGATAGTTAGTCAGAATAAACTTTAGAAAAAGCTGAATCCTTCATTGATTACTTTATTAGATTATTTAGCATTATGGATGTAAACTAGTTCTAAAATCAAAACAAGATGAAAAAACTTATAAAAGTCTAAAGTATAGTTTATAGGAAACTCAAATTAATGACTCTTAGAGTTAGAGCGCTCATAGCTTTGACTAAAGATTATCAATCTGAAAAAATTCTTAAGCAGATTTAATGCTCTTAATAAATCTTTGATGAAATGTTTGCAATGTATAGAATGAAAAAGAGAAATTTGAAATAATAAAAAAGAGAATTAAACATGCAAAAAGAGGGTGAATTTGTGTTAATGAAAACTACTGTGCTAATAGACCTTTCCTTATTGATGCTAGTCAGAAATTCTGATAACTGCTTTTATAAAGTCTAATTGCTATCATAAAAATGTTTAAAATCTTTAAGCTAGTTTGATGGTAAATTATCTGATAAGATTAATAGCTCTAAGAAATAAGTTCAAATACTTCAAGGTGATTGTGATAGAATGGATCTTAATAGTATTTATAGCCATTTACTAATGGGTTATGCTCTTGAGAAATAAGGGGAATCTATCAGCTTTTGCGATTACTATCAGATTTCGCTCCAAAGAGCATAAAGAATTTTACCAGAAGAAAATCTAATTAGAGTTTTGCTAGAAAGAATGTTTTTAAATTAAAATTTCTCCTTGATCTAAAAATTTTATAAAGATCTCAAAGATGACTATAAAGTTAAAGATGCACTTTAGTTACTTTTCATTGAATTATTAAAAAAGAAAATTTCATTTGATCTTTTTGGAAAAGACTTTAATAAATAGTAAAGTAAGGACGAGATTGCAGTTTAAAAAGAAGATTTAGAATATTACATGCAATTGCCACCAACTGCAAGGCTTTTAAATGGAATTAAAAAGAACTAACTAAAATAAAGCCAATCATCTGCTAATATTAGTTCTAGACCTAGAACTGGAAAATCATCTCATCGAGATCTTTTATAATAGACTAATATTCAAAATTTAGATTTACCTGATCTTAATAATTCATTAGCAGGGAAGAAGTAGAATACAATATCATCCAATTCTCCAAGAGGTTCTAAATATAAAATTAATATAGAAGATCTTGCAAACACTGAAATTAAGGGTAAAGTGAGTTAGATTAGAAATAATCTTGCGAAGATAATGCAAATTAATGAGGAAAAAACAGTGATGCTTGAAGATGATTTTTTCAATCAGAAAGATGGAAACTAAGAGTCAATTAGTAATGCTATCAGCAAGTCTGTTGAAAATTTCTTCAAACATTCAATTATGAAATAGCTTAAGTTACAATCATAGCAAGCACCTATTGATGGATAGTCAAAAAAGGTGGGAACTGTGATAGCTGATTAAGAGACAAGTGGGAAGAATTTTTGGAAAAGATTTAGAGTTTAACAAAAAGAATTTGAGAAAAAGATCTATCTTAATGAAAAGATAGATGACTTTAAAAAGTACTTTCAAGTTAAAATGAAGAATCAAAATGGTAATCTTGAGAGAAAAATCCTTGCTACACCTGAAGATTATGAAGCCCTAAAATACCATAAAGGCCTTAAGAGTTAAAGAAAAGATAAAATAGTTATCTCACCTAGCTAGTAAAATTCACCTATATTTTTTGCTGAAAATCATAAAAATTAGCATTTAAAATCAGAACCATCAAGTAACAACAACTTTACAGGCTCAACTTTGAATAGAAGAATTGATTAACATCATCATTTAAGCTCTAAGATACCAAGCAGAAGAGGCAGCTCAAGTGAATTTGTTAATACTAATGAAAACTTTGATGCAGTAATGTAAAAAATCAAGAAAAATTCTAAGAATTTGAATATTTAAGAGCAAACGAATAAATTTTTAGAAGGATTCAAAAAATATGATGCCATTGGAAAAATTATTAAGTTCAACAAGCATAAATCTGTTTTTAGAGAGGCCTTCGAGGGCAATATCTGATTAAATTATTCCTAATAAGATATTATAAGAATGATTATTTATAATTAAAATTAAAATGCTCACAATAGTTCTTCGGGGTTTTGGGGTTTTGGGG